TTGTCGATGACATTTCGGAGCTCCTGGTCTGGAGGACGCAGAAAAGGCCACACGGGGCGTCAGCGAGGATCGCCCAAATCCGGGGGCCCTGGTTTCCCAGCCCGCGTCCGCCGGTTGGGGTCCCTAGGGGTGGGCCCCGGAGAGGCCGCCCTAGTACGGGTCCCGATAGGGGCCAGAAGCGCGCCGGGAATGCGAGGACCCGCGGGAGAGGCCGCGGGCAAACCCCGGAGGCCGAGCCCCGCCCCTTCCTAGGCCCGGGGACCCCAGGAGGCGGGGAGGGTCAGCTGGGGATCCCGGGGAGAGATCAACGGGCCCCGAGTTCGGACTGGGCCTCACCGTCTGGCGGCAGCGGCATCTCCATGGCTCCGGCCGTGGGGAACGTCCTCCGGCGCCTCACGATCGCCCACCAGAGCCGTCTGCGGAAGCCGGCCGGAAGTGGCGCGAGGGAGTCTTTTACGGCTGGCCTCGCGCGCTGCCTCCTTCCTCCACTTACGGCCGTCGCCAGGAAACCCCGGAAGTGAGGGCACGGGGCGGGAGGGAAGAAACTGCGCGTGGCTGGGCGCGCGGGAGGGGCTAGCGATGCGCACTAGCGGTGGCTTTTCCGCGCATGTGCAGAGTGGGTTCCTGTTGCGCGACGCCGGGCAATGGCTGGAATGGCGCGGACGACCGTTAGCCGCTGGCGGGCTGTCCGCGTTGCAATCCTAGGGCTTGACTGGCCGCATTCTCTGCGGGAATAGGGAACCTGGGGAATTCCTGCCCATGTCAGGGCCTCTTTTCTCCTCGCGGGGCGACGGTGAGGAAAAGACGAGGTGAGGTACGTCCGGGAGGCTCCTGGACGCGGCTCCTGTCACATTCCCCCCGGGCCCTCCCGGAGGTAGAAGCCGAATCGGGAAGCTGTGGGCTTCGCAGGGATGGAACTGGCTTGTTGAGGTTCAAGAGATCCTTCAATTCGGTTTCTTCTCCTCGATCCAGCGGTTTGATAAGATTTTAAGGCGAGGGAAACCCCTACCCTCACCTCCGCCAGCCTCCGAGTGAGCCCCTTTCCTGGCTTTTGTGCAGTCGTTTAAGCAGCGGTGATCGAGCAAGGGCCCAAGACCTGCGGGTGCTGGGCCCTCTACACCGCGCGTCCGGAGGCCACGGCGCCATCCTGAAAGATGCAGTTACAGTGTTTCCAAAACGATGACGTTAATGTATGCCAATTGTGGGGAAAGGTAACAAGCCGCAGAATGCGTTAGAGACATGTAAACTGTGGACTTGCGCGGTAACCTGACGCTCTTGAGATAGCTTTGTTCACATTAATACTTGGTTGGTTATGCGGTATCTTTTTTTGTGGAAATGGATGTCTGTGTGTTTTAGATACGTTTCTTTTCTGTTGTTTCGTAGTTTCTCCCATCTGACGCTTATGATTTGTCTCCTGTACACGAGATATTGCCTTAGGCTAGAGGCCGGCAAGCTTTCTGTAAAGGGCCAGATAGCAAGTATTTTATAGACTTTGAAGGCCAAGAGCCAAAAACGAGGCTTTTATGTAGGTGCTTATATAACCAAAGATAAAAACGTCCAGAATACTTGTTGGTGGAATTTAAAATTTAATAATTGAGTACCGTTTAAAAAATATAGGCCTAATGAGAAGAATGCAGTGCTCGTTGAAGATTCCAACCAGTCTTTGTTGTCCTCAGTTGATTGCAAATGTTCACCTGTAAAGACCATCCTTGGTTCACAGAAAGGCAGGTTGGATGTAACTTGTGGATGAAACAGTGAATAAGTCCAACCTAATCTCTGGTCTCATGAGCCCACTGCTAAGATAGGCAGACCCCATAAATCAGTTATCACATGTATCACCTCAAAGGTGTTACTGAGAAAACCAAAGGGTGTGAAGACTATGATAAGGGAGAAGGGCAGTGTCTGTGTTGATACGGTTATCTGAGAGGGCCCCTGGAAGGTGAGGTTTGATTGAGATTCCCCACTCCGGAACCAGCTATCTGAACACTCCGGGCAGAGGGACTATCACGGGGATGTTCTCTGTCATATAAATGCTCAGAAATCTGGATAGTGTGATTGCTGTGTCTCAGTCAAGATCTGTATCAAGTAGCTTTAACCTGGGGTTTCTCTAGTGGTCCAGTGGTTAAGAGTCCATCTTGCACTGTAGGGGAGGCCGGTTAAATCCCTGATCTGGGAAGCTCCTCCATGCCGTGGGGCGGCTGCGTCCCTGTGTCGCGACTACTGAGTCCACGGGCACTGGGGCCTGTGCTCCACAAGAGAAGCCACCACCAGGAGAAACCTGTGCACAACAGTGAAGACCCAGTGCAGCCAAAAAGAAATTTAACCTGTGATCCACCACGATTGGACTAGAGAGAGAGCCCTGTTGCACACGTGTATTTTCGTGAGATGAAAATACACAGCACTTAACCAGATTCTTAACAGGATCTCTGAACCAAACAAATTGTATCCTTTTTTCTTTTGTTGGCTGCACCATGGCATGTGGGATCTTAGTTCTCCTACCAGGGACTGAACCCATGCCCCTGCAGTAGAAGTGCAGTCTTAACCACAGAACCACCAGGGAAGTTCCCATGTGGTCAATCTTTAATGACTGTATAGGACAGTGTGGTGTGGATTTACCATACCTTAGTGAAGCCAATCTCCGGAGTCTCTTGGGTTGGTTGTGCTTTTAAACCACTGTTAAAAATTTTAGCGTGTACACAGGTGTTGAGGTCAGAGGGTTTGCACTTTCAATGCTGATGTTGCTCAGCTACTCACCAAAAAGGTTGTATACCCTTGACCACTATATCATACATTCATCTCATAGTGTTTAAAATGCTGTTTGAGACTGAAAATTTAAGCATCACAGAGCCTCCCCGAGGCTTACTTCAGTGGGCCAAATCAGAATCCACTTGTCGGAGAAAGCAGGAGAGAGACAGTTGCTAGAAGTCGAGGCTGCTGCACAGAGATGATCTTCGAGGACCTAGAAACAGAACTCTTGAAGTAAATAAGTAAAGCGCACACTCCTTGGTGAGATGAACTTGCTGAGGGAACCCATGTAACAAAAAGGCAAGAATTTAAGACCCATATGCATGCCCATTTTGGTCCTGCAAATGTGCTGGGAGGAATTTATCCTAGATCAGAAGCATGTGCAACATTGTGCAATACAAACTTATCACATTAAAATAGTACTTAAGGTGCAGCAATAGGGCTTGGTTAATTTGTAGCACATCCTCTAATACCATATAGAGCAGACACAGAACCAAGGGAGAATATTTAGTAACACGGGGAAATGTTACTAAAATGCAGCTTACAAAATATTATGGGCAATATGCCAGTTCTGAAGAAAGTACATATATCCTTCTTAAGAGGCAACTGCTATGTCTAGCTTCATGTGTGCCTTTTCAGAGAGAAACTGTTCACAAGCACCTTTATATCTATATAAAGCAAGTTGTTTTCTCTCTCCCCTTCTTTTTGACCTTTGTCAGGTAATCTTTTGGCTTTAATATTTTTTTTTCCAAACTTAAAAAATTATATATAGACTATAAAAGTTGTTATTTAAAAAAGTAGTGGCTGACTGAGGAAATCTAGGCCCATGTAGAGCCATGGTTTCAATAAAGCCAGAGCTTTGTGTGGCTATAGCCTCATCTTCTGCAATAACTGAACGCTATGTGGTCAACAAGCTGAAGCCACGGCAGGAGGAATGCCTTGTGGGAACTGAGATCCTTTTGTGTCCTAGACAATGAGCATTCCTTGGGCCTGATTGCCTGTCACCAAACGTACCTCTTGTCACAAAGGAGTCGCCCTGGGGTGACCAAAGAGGATTCCAGCGGCTGAGAGAGGACATCTCTGAGGAGGGGCTCCAGTTCTGGTGTCTGAGCAAGGAGACCGTCCCTGAAGCTGGCTCTCTGCCCGACTCCCAGACTGTGACACCATGCGTGGCGCTGCGGCGGACAGCTGCAAAGCTGCTTGTGTCACCTGGACATTAGGGCTCCTCCAGGGTCTTCCTGTCGCAGGGGCCCAGCGAGGGAAAGCAAAGGATAGATCCTAGTGTGTGAGGCAAAGGTGACAAAACAAAGCTGCTCACTGTACTGAGGCTGTTTCGCAGGGCAGAGGGCCCTGGGCTTGGAGTCTGACACTCGGGTTCCAGCCCTGTTCAGTGGGCCAAGCCTGACTTTCTCTGTTGCCATTTCCTTCTGCTAAATGGACTAATATCTGCCTCTTGGGTTCTGATAGTTAAATGAGACATATGTATTAAAAAATGCTTGAATAAAATATTCTATGAATTGAAAGTGCATGTCAACACATTCCCATGTGCCCCTCAAATAACCCTGCACTTTAGCATTTTCTCCCCCATCTCTAACACAGCACCTGTGTGCTCCTTAGTCACACATCTAGAAATTGAGCTGAGTGCTCAGAGGGCAGGAGGCTTAGGTACCCGTTTCCTGTTTTGGGCACCACCTAAGCACTCAGTAAATCACTGAACAGAAGGATGTAGGCCAGTAGAAGAAACCTACCTGTCCATTGCGATGAAAGGAAATTCTGTTGGCAGTGGTTTCTGAGTGATATGGGGGGAAATGGGATTGGAGGCAGACTGCAGTAGCTGTGTGATCCTGGACAAATTACTTACCCCTCTGGGCTCGATTTTCATCTGTGGCAAGGCAAAGGGTAACCCTTCGTGGATTGTGCATGAAAAGCCCACATGTATCTATTGTGATCTATTGTTCCTTCACAGATGTGCATAAGCTCAGCTGTTGCAACATTCTTGGGTTTTCCATGTTATTCTGTTCAATAAAGGCATGTCATTAACTGTGATGCTGTGATGTCTAGTTTTATCCTACTGTGTCACAAATCCATAAATCACACATCTAAATCTGGGCTCAGAAAAATAAAAAGGTTGCAATATACCTGGATGTGGGAACCAAGTTGGTGTGCTCTTTCGGCCTCTTACACATTTTGTGGCTGGACACACTGATGACAGAGTGACTCAGAAGGGGCCCTTCACCGACAAACTGGGACCAATCTTAATTCCCTGGAGACCATCATTTATTTTTGGTAAATGCCATCCAAGAATATACACAGTATCATTCCCACAGAACAGTCTATAGCATGAAAAGTCCTGAAAACATGGTGACATAAAACAGTTCACAGTTTTCAGATTCTTCAATAATTTAATGTTCTCTGCCCTAAGGCTGTTAGACCTTAAGGGATCCAGGTCTGGTTATGTCCCAGTGATAACACAGGACCTGCTGTACGACGCGTGCTAAATACACAGCAAAATTCAGAAACTCCAGGTGCTTCTTCATTTGAACCTGTTTGGCTTCTCTCCTTTGTAACAGGGGTTTGATTTTCCCAAATAATGAATGACTTAAAATAAGGTGCTTAAAAATTCCACACTGAGTCTCAAGATAGTGAACAAACACTATTTAAAAATGCCCTCTGAGCCTCAGTTTTCCCCCTTCAGTAAAATGAAGGGACTGGGTTTGAGTTAGTTTTGCAGGCCACACCACGGATGGGTGAACTAAATTTGCTGTTACAAACCCCAGCAGGGAGGAGGGTGAAGGAACCCAACTGCAAATGTGGATGTGAGGAGGAGGAGGAGGGGCTGAGCCCGGGCAGCAAGTGGCTGGAAAACCGACCTTCATGAGGGCAACGTCCACTCGGAACTTTCAAGTCTCAAAAGTATGTCTTTGTCTTCTGATCTGATCGAATATGATTGTCTCATTCCAGTGTATGTACTCACTGTAGATTTATGTACAGAACTAAATATCCGTTTATTCATTTATAAACCGTAATGAAACCAGTCAGGTATTTCCCCTCACCAGCAGATCTTGCTTTGGAAAAACAAATACACAAATTTCAGAAACCTCAGAAATTTCATTAAACCTGCAGAAAAGCATAATTCATTTTGGAGTTCAATTTTATGTTCAAGGAATCAGTTCCTATCATAAAGACAATTACTGTAATATCTTTGCCATGCAAAATTATCCCCATTTATTGTGGACCAACTGCAGGTCCAACTACTGCCTCTGATGAAGGCACTCGGCAAGTTCACAAATAACATCCTTGAAGACGGCCCCTTCCTGTTGCACACTGCGCAGTCTCAGAACTTGGGGCCAAAGTAAGTAAAAAGCAAGCCAACATCAAATGGTTCTCCTGAGGCCACTGGTACTAAACTCAAGCCAGAAGGCGACCTCATGACCTCTTCAGGAGCTGCCCATCCATGAGCGACAAAATGTAACCTCTAAGTACAAAGTTCCAACTATCAAAAACAAACAGGAGTTGAGCATAAGCTATGGTTGGCACTTCCTCTCAGAGCAGAGAACCATCTCACATGTCAGAAGGTAAAAGGTAACCTGAGGTCCCATCTGCTGATCAAACCAAGTGCCTGTTCAAGAGGGTAGGCGCAGGGCAGAGGAAGAAGGCAGCCAGCAGTCAAGGGAGGGTCCCCTCTGAGGCCACAATCTCTTGTAATGCCAGTGTCCCGACCTGAACCTCAGCACACGGGTTACCCTCGGAGCTCACATAATCTTCCTGGCGATGTGATTCTACCAAAAGCCAAACTTCTTGACCAAAGACTGATTTGGCAAACCAAATCCTAGCCTGGTGCTTGCCCCTTCCCTGGGACGTGATTCAGATCCTGACGGAAACACCACTAGAGCAGCTAACGGAATCAGAGCGCCAAGGTCTGTGACACAAAAGTATGGAGATGACATTCTTGATTCATCTCACGTTCAGAGGTTGTGGTCACTAGAAAAGCGCTTCAGAACACTTCATTCCTTCCTACTAGATGCAGACATATGCCGAGACAGGCATCGCCAGCAAGCTTTCTTGTTTTAAAACGTTTAAAAACCAAAGGGGCTTCCAACCATAAGCCAATCTGCATGCATCCCCTAAGAGGGGGATGAGGGGTGGGGGACCAAGGTGAAAAACAGACTACAAAATATGCCCTAGAAAAATGCAAGATCCTCATAAAACCAACATCTCCTCACCAGATATCCTATTAAGCAGAGAGTGTTGAAGGCTCATGAGAAAACAAAGTGAGTACTGCAGTTTAGCTTGGAATGCTGAACATGATTTTGAATGATCCTTCTTGCTGCTCCGAGAGGAGAGTCGTTCCACTCCAGCAAAGGAAGAGTCCGGAGTCAGCAGCCACCCTTCCCTTTCGGTCGGCACACCAACTCTGACTCGCGGGTGAGAGAATTAGGCTCTAAGGATTCAATGCTAATTGCAATTGCTCTGCACTGAGGAATGTTGGCCAGAATTGCAAACCGTCATGGGGCTGACCCAAAGCTGAGCCCACCTTTGTGGCTGGAGAGGTTTTCGGAACTCTTGCACTCCTCTGCTCCACACCTGCTTCGGTCCTGCGCCTGCCTGACAGTGGCCAGTCACAAAGCACCACCCTGAGGTCCTTTCCGCACCACCCTCCCTGCAGAGCACATCTCGCTCTCTGAGGTCTCTGTCCTTTCCAGAGAGGGTCCTGGCTGGAAAGCAGAAAAAGAACTCTGAAGAACAGACTTGGGGAAGTAAGTCTACACAGAAAGGTCAAAACCTAGCCAAGGTTTCCGGAGTGACGCCGCCCTCAGAAGACAAGGCTCCCAGAAGAAAGGGCGTGAAACACCGGAGCTCGGGGTGGTGGTCCCCACGGCAGGGTCTGCTTTCTGCTGGTTCCGCACCATCCCCCCTTGGCTGGGTTGTACATTCACTGGTTGTCAGGAGTTTCTGATGCTGCTGGGGGCGGGAATGGAGGAGAGGACTGGCAGAACGTCCTGCCCAGCTCGCGAGGCTCTACACGTCGTATCGGTTCAAAGTGTATGAGTTTGGGTAGGTGGGCCGGCCGTACTGGAAGTGATCTGTCAAGATGTTGTTGCGGCCGTACTGGTAGTCGCTGTGCGGGGGGAAGAGCGTGCCGTTGTGGGGCTTCTCCAGGGGGCTCCGGTGGTGCTCCTTACTGCTCAGGTCCCCTGTCGTGACGGGGAGGAGGTGCTTCCGGGCTTGCTGGTTCGCGTCATACTTGGTCTGCAAAGTCAAGAGAGCAGTGATGCCATCAGCTGCAAGCCTGGGATGCACGCAGAGGACACAGCGGGGCTCGGGATTCATGGCCAAGAGGCCTTCAAGTTGACACAAGAGTCACCCCGAGTGGAGCTGGGGCACGCCCAGTGCACAATTAACGGAGCAGCCCTCCCTGCCAGCCATCCCCCAGCTTCACAGGGGAATACACAGAACCTTCGCGAGGAAGGAGTGAAATTCCCAATAGAGCCTCAGTAGAACTGAGAGCCAAAACAAAGTGAGGCGTGAGCCTGGGGCATCTATGAGGGAAAGTGGGAGCCCAGGATGGAGGCAGCGGAGCCAAGACCATAAGCCAGGCAGTGGCAAAGCTGGGAGCTGGAACCCCTGCCTCTTGGTTCCTGCTGAGGCCCCATCCTTTCCACCAACGCTCGGTGCCTCCTTGGGTGTCAAAAGGACAGCCTTCCCCAGCTCAGACTCACCTTGTTGTACAGAAAGACTCCGAGGATGGCCGTCATCATGCCCAGGACGTTGGTGCTGGTGACGGGGTTCCGCAGCATGATGAGGGACACCGTGATGACCATGATCCTCTTGGTGGCGTTGGCGACCGAGTAGCTCAGAGGGCTGATGAGGTTGAGGATGCTGAAGGCGATGACGTTCTGGGCAAAGTTACAGAAGCCACTGACAGCCAGGAGCAGGAGCGTCCAAGGCCACTGGGCCACAGAGGTCTGCAGCGATGGGGGAACGAGAACGGCACTGAGGTCAGAGCAGCTCGCCTGCCCTGGTGGGGGTGGTGACATACAGTGGCTTCTCAGGGGTCATACTCCCGGGAGGGGAACAGACCCAGGCAGCTCTCATCGTGTGATACCAGGTGCTTTATATGTACACCCTCTGTCCTTCACAACTCTGCATGGCACAGCAATAGTAATCACCACCCATTCTTGCCAAGGAAGTGGAGGTTCGGGGGGGGGACATCAGGTACCTAAGGGGTGCAGAGTATGACACGAACCAGAGCTTTCCCCTGTCCCTGGGCAGGGAGGGTCAGGGCTCTGGGTTAGCAGAGCAGGGTCTACATACTGGACATCACCTGTCTGAGCTGCTATGACAAAGTACCATAGGCTAGAGGGGTTACAAAAAACAGATGTTGATTTCTCACAGTTCTGTGGGCTGAAGTCTAAGATAAAGGCGCTGGCAGATTCCACATCTGGTGTGCACCCTCCTGGTGCAGTGGCTCTCACTGGGTCCTCACAGGGCAGAAGTGGCGAGGGAACACTGGGGTTTCTCTTTTTTTTTGGTTTCTCTCTTTTTAAAAGTAATTTTATTTATATATTTATTGGCTCTGCTAGCTCTGCATTGCTGCACGGGCTTTCCTCTACTTGCAGGGAGAAAGAGGTACTTTCTAGTTGCAGTACACGGGTCTCATTGTGGTGGCCTCTCGTGGTGGAGTGCAGGCTCTAGGGCTTGTGGGCTCTGGAGCAGAGGCTCAACAGCTGTGGTGCACAGTATTAGTCACTCCATGGCATATGATCCTCCTGGATAGGGGGTCAAATTCCCATCTCCTGAGCTGGTGGGCAGGTTCTTTATGCTGAGCCACCAGAGAAGCTATGGGGCCTCTTAGAAGGGCACAAATCCCATTCATGATGGGCCCACCCTCATGACCTAATCACCTCCAAAAAGCCCTGTCTCCAAACACCATCATGTTGTAAGGTTTAGGTTTCAACATATGAATTTTAGGAGGACACAAACATAGTAGACATTCTGCATTGTATCAAATGGGGAGGTCCTGGGGTGGCAGCCCCTGGGTGTGTGAAGACTCCCCCCACAAGGCTGGGAGCCCAAGGCTCTGGTCTGCCCCATCACTGGAAGCCCCCAGGCAAGCCACCCAACCTCTCTGGCTTCATCTCTGTAATGGGGAAGACTGATCTTGATGAGTCTGTATAACACTGCTGCTGTGAGGACCAAATGCAATCATGGTTTTGAAAGTGCTTTAAAACAATCCCAAGCCAAACAAACAGAAAATGATGTTATCATCAAAACTTTAGTTGCCGACGTCCCTGGTTGTCCCGTGGTTAAGAATGCAAGTGCAGGGTACACAAGTTCAATCTCTGGTCCAGGAAGATTCCACATGCTGCAGAGCAACCGAAGCCCGCGTGCTCTAGAGCCAGTGCTCTGCAACAAGAGCACCCATCAGGGTGAGAAGCTCGGCATGCGGCAACAAAGACCCAGTCAAAAGTAAAATAAATACAAATTAAAAAAACAAAATTTTACCATCTGACCCTCGCCAGAATGAAGCCACCATAATAAAGGGGGCCTAGAAGTAAAAACTAAGATCATAGCACCCAGTCCCGTAACTTCATGGCAAATAGATGGGGAAAAAATGGAAACAGTAACAGACTATTTTCTTGGGCTCCAAAATCACTGCAGAAGGTGACCAGAGCCATGAGGTTAAAAGACATTTGCTCCTTGGAAGAAAAACTATTACAAACCTACAGAGCATAGTAAAAAGCAGAGACAGCACTTTGCAAACAAAGGTCCATATAGTCAAAGCTATGGTTTTTCCAGTAGTCATGTATGGATGTGAGAAATGGACCACAAAGAAAGCTGAGCACCGAAGAACTGATGCTTTCAAGCTGTGGTGTTAGAGAAGACTCTTGAGAGTCCCATGGACTGCAAGGAGATCTAACCAGTCCATCCTAAAAGAGATCAATCCTGAATATTCATTAGAAGGACTGATGTTGAAGCTGAAGCTCCAATACTTTGGCCACCTAATGGGAAGACTCAATTCATCAGAAAACACTGATGCTGGGAAAGACTGAAGGCAGAAGAAGAGGGCAACAGAGGATGAGATGGTTGGATGGCATCACCAACTCAATGGACATGAGTTTGAGCAGACTCCAGGAGATGAAGGACAGGGAAGCCTGGTGTGCTGCGGTCCATGGGGTCACAAAGAGTCAGACAAAACTGACTGGCTGAACACCATAAACCCCAACTAGCAAACATTAGGACCACAAATTCCTCAAAGAGCCTAGGCTGATCTCAGGCCAGCTCCCAGGCTGCTCTGGCCTCTCACGGGAGGACACAGCTGGATCTCTCAGGACAGTAGTGTCTAGTGGCCTTGCCAGGAAGGGAGCTGAAACAGTCCTTGGGCAGCGGTCTGATTCTATCTCCAGCACCCTCTGATAGGGAAGGATCACATAGTCCTCTTAAAAGTGAGGGAGATCCAAGTAGGGACCTGCTCAGAATTGCCTTCAGGGCGAGCTGGCCTGTTCTCCTAGGAATTCTTCCCTGAGGTGACCCACAGGGACTTACAAGCTATTTTTACAAGGCAGGCTGCTTGCAAAGATATCTTCCAGAAAAGCAACCCAGCCAATCCAGCTTTTTAAAAGAACTGACATACAAAAAAGTTGAGTGTTTCTTCCTTCTGGTGGATAGTTCCATGTGTTTTAACACACATATATTGATTTGTGTAGCCAACACCACAGTCAAGAGTTCAGAACAGCTCTATCACCCCACGACACTCTCCAAGGCTTCTCTATGCACCCTCCCTCCCCCAACCTAGGCAACCACCTGGGTGTTCTCCATGATACGTTTGTCTTTTGGAGACTGTCCTCTAACTGGAAAGATGCAGCATGGCATCTTCTCAGACAGGTTTCTTTGATTCAGCATAATGCCTGTGACATTCACCCAAGTTGTTGTAAGGGATGACCGTTGGTACCCTTGTTATTGCTGAGAAATGTTCTGCTGTACAAACACATCAAGTTCTTTCTCCATTCACCTGATGAAGGACATCTGGGTTGTTTCCAATACTCTGTGATCATAAACAGAGTTGCTATAAATATTGTGTACAGGCTTCTATGTGAACCTGAGTTTCATTTCTCTAGAGTAGACACCGAGGAGACTGCTGGGACATATGGTCAGTGTATGTTTAACTTCAGAAGAAACTCCCAGATGTTTTCCAGAGTGGCTGCACCATTTTGCAGTTGCTCCAACAACAGAAAAGTTCCAGTTGCGCCCCATCCTTGACAAACATGGTACTGTCGGTACTTTTCATTGGAGCTATTCTATTAGATACAAAGTGGCATCTCCTCATGGTTTTAATCTGCTTTTCCCTAATGACTAATGATGTTGAACATATTTCACATGTGTACAATCTCAATGGTGAAATTCAAGTCTTTGGCCTATTTTTAAACTACTCAAGTTTTGAGAGTTCTTTATATATCCTGAACACAAGTTCTCTGTCAATATCTCACTGGCAAGTACTTTTTTCCCCAGTCTGTAGCCTGTCTTTCTTTAGCAGTGTTTCGGAAAGCAAAAGCCTTTAACTTTGACGAAGCCCCCTTTAGCAAAAATTTTTTTTAAATGGACTGTGCTTTTGGTGTAACATCTACAAACTACTTCCAAGTCATGAAGATGTCTCCTCTGTTTTTTCTTCTAAGGGTTACCATTTTTGCTCTTATATTCAGGTCTAGAATACCTTATGAGTTAAATTTTGTGTAACATGTGAGGCTGAAGTCAAGGCTCAGATCTTGCATATGGATGTTCATTTGCTCCAACATCATTTGTTAAAAAAACTATCCTTTCTCCACGGAGTTGCCTTTGAACCTTTGTAAAAAATCAGTCACCCATATCTGTAAGTATAATTTCAAGCTGCCTATCTGCTCACTGGTGGGTGTCTTTCTCCACCAATATCCGTACCTTTATACTAAGTCTTAAAATTATGTAATGTGATTCCTCCAACTCTGGTCCTCTTTCCCAAACTTAGTTAGCTATTTCAGTTCTCTCGCCAGTCAATGTAAAATTTCCAATCAGCTTTTCTATATTAAAAAAAATTTTAATATATATAGGTATCTATCTACCTCCAAATACACAGGGGGATAATTTCTCAACTTTTTTCATTAATGCCTTTGCCCAGCAGAAAAATTAAAGTTAAAATTTAAGTAATGATCTACAATTGAATATAAGAAGTATAAGATTTTGTTGAGTAGAAAGAATTTTATTTCACCCTTTCAAATCTATTTCTTTATCTTGTTTTATTGCTCTGGCTGTGATGTTAAGTATCATAGGGAATGGGCCTGTTGAGAGTGAACATCTTTACCTTATTCCTGAATTTAGGGGAAAAAACTTTCAATTTCTCAACATTATGTTAGCTATATATGCCTTTGATTAAGTTGAGGTAGTTTCCTTCTATGTCTAGTGTGTTGACTTTTTAAAACTCATGACTGGATGTTGGATTTTGTCAAATGCCTTTTCTGCATGAGTTGGTATAACTATGTGTTTTTTATCAGGCTATTACAGTAGATTACATTGATTGATTTCAAAGTATTGAATTAGCCTTGCATTCTTGATTTAAATCTCACTTTTTCATAGTGTAGTATGTTATTTAACATATCCCTGCATTTGATTTATTCTAATATTTTATTAAGGACTTTTGCCTCCATGCTCACAAGGGATATTGGTCCTTTTTGTGGTTTGTTAATATGAACCAAAAGTGTTCTTTTCCTCTTCTGTTTTCCACAGGAGATTGTGCAGAACTGGTGTTTATTTTTTCTTAAATGTTTGGTAGAAATTACCCATAAAACCATCTGGGCATGATGACTTCTTTTTAGAAGGCTTTAAACTATGAATTCAATTTCTCTAATAGTTATAAGATTCAGGTTATCTTTTTCATCTGGAGTGGGTACATTTTGACAGTGTGTGGTTTATGAGGAATGGGTCTATTTCAGTTGTC